ACATCTCAATGCTTTAGAAGTCTTCTTCACCCTTCACTAAGATCTTCTTCTTAAAATAGAAGTCTCTAAGCTACTATCACCTTAGAAGTCCAACAGAAGACCTTGTGAGAGATTCTGTTCCAAGGTCAACAGAAGACCTCGGGAAGGGTTCTGTCACAAAGACACCAGAACACCATACCAAGGTATTCTGATTAAGACCTTCTGTCCGAAGCATCTCTGCCACTAAGCACCTCTGTCTCTGAAAATAAGGAATGTTCATCTTACCTCACTCAAACACTTCACTTAGGTTCCTTTGAGATCATGAAACTCATCTGACCATCTCTCTGACATCTCCTTGTCCACTTACTAATAGAAAGTTATCATATACATAGAGGTCAAGACTTCCGTTGTGGATCCTTAATCTCTCAAAAGGTTATTGATCATCATATCTGGGAGGAAAACTTTTTAAAGTTGAAAAAGCTTTAAAAGTCTATTCACCCCCCCCCCCTCTAGACTTTTACCTCTATCTGGAACCATCATAAAGTCTTCTATCTCATTGAATTAAAACTCATATAAGTTGTTCATTTTAGTGTTTAAGTAATTAAATCAAACAATCCAACCCCCCCCCCACAATTTCCATAAAATAAAAGTATTTCTTTCCTTGTGGATACAAATTCTACTACACCATACCACGTATAAGTGTTAAGTATTGAATTTATTTTGAGTCACATACTAGGCCTGGACCAATTCGGTTCTTACTCAAAATTGGTGGAAACGTTATAAATATTTTAACTAATGAAATCGGTTCGGTTCTTGTGTAAAAAAAACAAGAACCGTTATGGAACCGAACCAATACTAAACGGTTTGGTTCTTGCTTTTATCGGTTCCTCGAATAATTGTTTTCTCATCTAGTGAATTAGCATATTATTTGCTTTCTACCACATAAATATGTTAAAAAAAATTCAAAACATAAGTACTAAAATTTATTTAAAGTTCTGATCACTTCAAACCATCAAAGCTCAAACTTAACTAAGGGAACACTTAATAGAATAAAAGAATATTTCAATTTTCGTTTCTTTAATAAGTAGAACATAAAAATCTTTGTTATGTGGTAAACTGGTAACAATGAAAGTTGGTCATCATCACAGTAGGAAGATAGGATGTCCACTTCGAGTCTTTCAAAACATAAAAAATACATTGAGATTGCGCGTATAGATATGAAAGCATCATTATAGTGTGTTTGCTAGTAGTATAATTTACAATAAATCTAAAAGTTACAAACTTACAAATACCATGAAGATAGTGAAGTAAAATATATGCAATCAACTACAAGTTATTTGAGTTATTTTATATTTATAAAATTTATGGGATGTAACAAAACTTGATTTTTAAAAATGAGCGTAAGCATTCAATCTCATGTGCAATATTGATTACTTTTATTTTCGTTGGTTAAATTACAATTACAATTACAATTTTTATTTTTATTTTTTATTAGCAGTTCCTTAACGGTTCCGTGCACATACTACGTAGTAACAAGTAGGAACCGAACCTAACAACTAGTACCACATTTGTAGGAACCGAACCGGATTACAACGGTTCGGTTCCAACCGGTTCTTCGGTTCCCGGTTCCGAAATCCCACCCCTAGCATATACGACTTTAGTGTCGTCAGCTATCTTTGACTTCAAAACTGGGAATGCTATGAATGACTTGTAAAGAGTCCGATTCCACCACCACATTCACCCAACTAGGTGCCTTGGACCCTGCTTAATGTAGGGTGTGTTTCGGAAAATAAAGAAAATTATCAAAATAAATTAATTAAAATGACTAGAGAAAAACAAGAAAGGAGATGAAGCAGAATTAGTCAAAGCTCGTGCTACGCACGATGTCCTTAAAACGTATTTGTTGCCTCCCACGGTGCTAGAAGCGTTGCAACAATCGTTTCCCAGGATACGATGACTACGAACTAATGTTTGAGCACACAAACAAAAGTTCCAGCGAACGAGAACACAGTATAAACACAAAGGAATTTTTCAGAATGCTAGCAGTGTGTTTTTAGGGGTGCAAAAGGTGCTTGGAGTGTATGAATTCGTGTTTATAGGAGGATTTGTTGTGAGTAAATGGTGAATTAATGGACCTGAACGTTGGACATCAATGACCAGTCCGTTGGGCATTGAATCGTCCATGAACTGTCCATTTAACACTGCATTAAAAGATAATAACGTTGGGCATTAATTGTTGTAAAAAATTAAACGTTTCGGGAAGAAAACAAAAATCAATCGTATCCATTCGTGTCCGCAGGTCGCCCGCGCACGCAAGTCGCGGTCTTTCTTCTCCGATTTCGGGATTTGATTTGCACCCCCCCCCCCTGCGCGCGTGGAGAGAGCCTCTACCCTAAGAAATCTTAACTCCTTAAGGGGGGAGTCCCTTTATAAAGGGTTGCAAATCCCTTGGGTTTTCCGGTGTGGGAAATTAACACTAGAAACCCATCCTTTTTCCCAGTTTTTCCATTCTAACGGGTAAACTTCGAAAAGCGATTTTTCATTCACCCGTTATCCGTTTTGAGCGTACCATATATCGAATTGTAGCCGTTAACAAGGACAATCCGAAACCACTTTGACCCGATCCAAATCGGAAGTGGACCCCACTCAAAAAATTGCTCAAAAATAGCCATTTAATGCAATTTTTCACACATTTTTCCAACACTAGCCTCGCAAACACTCGATGCTTCCAACTCCTAGGGGCAGACAATTTCCCTGCCAAGATATTGCACCATATCCCCCTAGGCACGTTGCATTCGTATCGATTTTGAATTTTTGATTTAGGTGTTGTTTGAATAATGATGTTTAGTTTTCCCAAGAACGCCATTTCTTTAATACTTGAATGCAACAATATGCAGCGTGTTGGGAGGGTGAAACGATGGAAGCCAAACACGGGCTAAATCCCCATAACTCTACTCGTCCAGCTCCGATCCCTGTCGCTTTCTCACTTCGCCTGGGAATTGTGCCTGCCTCCAATTGGATAAGAATGCAGCTGCTTGATTGCAAATCTGCTCTACAGAAAACTTCATTCCTTCCCGGGCATTCAGATTGCGGACCCTCATCACCATCCCACAACATTGATCCTCGCTTTCGGCTGAGAAAGAGTCCTACAACTCTCTATGCCTATCGATCCCGTCTACAGGATGATTCAATTGATGCAGAGATTTGACTTCAGTTCATTAGTAAGGAAGCTATGACATTCAATGAGATTCTAACTTCATGGTAAACATATGTAATCTTTTGTAATTTGTCCAGTTGAAAGCCGCTTGATCACTTGTGCAGTATAGCTTTGGAGAGTTTGATGATATTATGTAAAACAAAACTTCTGTCAAGTGCACTGAGATGATAGTTATATGTAACGGTAATTTATTGGTTGACATTATTCTGAAAAAAACTCCGGTAAATTAGACAATGCTGCTAATTTTAATTACTAATATTAATTTATTGGTTGTGTTTAGTGATCATATAACATATTATAAAATTATAAAAAATACTACCATTCCAACGTGAAAATTGAGGCCCAACACATTTGAGTATTTGACTAACCTTGCTTCTTTTATAAAACCAGCTTGCGTGAAATTATGAGATGCCAATTCATGACAAGCCCACAACTATTTTTTCCGTTTAAATAAAATTACATTATAATTATAATATGGGGTGTTTGGAATTGTTCTGCTTCTTTCTAACAAGCGGAAGCAAAATCAGAATCAATTTTTCAGAAGCTGATCTCCCTCATCTTCTGAAAAACGGCTTCTATGAGCAATTTGGAGCACCCAAAAGTACTTCTACACTTTCACTCAAACATTCTTATATCTTCTTCTGCTCCCTGAAGGTGCAAAAGCAGTTTTTGAAAGTGGATCCAAACACCCCTTAGATCTGGTTATGATTTCAAAAATAGTGTCATAGAGTTATATAAGATTCTTGAATTACAATATCCTATCAATTCTGATTGTGAAATGCCCCTCATTGTGATTGAATTAATTTTTAACCCTTTTTCGGTTTATCATTGACAGATTTATATTTAAAAAATACATTTTCCCTACCTAATACAATGAAAGTCTAAGATATTAACTATTAAGCTAATAATATTAAATGACTAGTATAGCAATAGCTTTTAGACAAGGAGATCAATGGGGTATTTGGTTTTTTAACTAACAGAGTCAAGCTGGAGTCTCAATTTCTCAGTTTGTTGTTTTTGTTTTCACAAAAGCCTAAGAGGCGACAGTTCCTTGCTCCAAGAAATAACTACTGCAGTAAATTAATCTTAATAAAGTCCCAAATAAATCTTGCTTCCATTGTAAAAAAAAAGGATGACACTTCATCCATGAAGGAGAATTTATATTGAACTTTAATTAACTGATAAATAACAAATTTAATCCTAGTACTTGCAGTAACCCCATCATGCCAAATTTGTTGTCCACACAAGACTTCATTCCTTCCTTGTACATTTAATTTTAGAGGTTATTATATCAGTTTCAGTTCAACTCTATCAGCTTTGATTCAATTCAGTTTAAAACAGATTTAGAAATGGATTATAAAACCAAAATCATACTATTTTTTGGTTTATTCAATTCGGATTAAATCAATTTGGATTTGTTGTTTTTTAAGAATATATTAAGATTTTATTACGGAGTAATTTTTTACTTAAGCTGATTTGTTTAGTTTTCCTCACTCGGTAACCTACCATCTGATCCACTAGGCCCACCATGATAGTAATATACTCACTGCTTGGGGTAACCCAAAACTAACCACCTGGTCCACTAGGCCCACCGTGATAGTATACTCACTGTTTGGCTTTATGAAAAACATAATCGGTACTATAGAAGAGCTACTCATATACTATCGTATGTTTAATGCAATACAGGTCTATTCGAAACGAGCACGATTGTGGATTGGGCAACTGTGCAAGTATGAAACTACTTCATACCTTACTGGACTGGATACATTATTGCAAGATGGGAGTTTTGAGGGGATAAAGAAAGCGCATGTGTCTAATGAATGTATGAAAAAAACATGATTGTTTTCACAAGCATAATGGGTGAAGCACAGCTATATTAGTTGACTGTTCTGGCAACACAATTACTAAAAAAGAAACAGAAAGGGAAATAACAGACAAGGCTAAAAAGCTGACTCTATGGAGTTCTATCTACAGTTATCAGTCCAACCGGTTGAGCTGGAATGTTTCAAAACACGGCTAAAAAGCAGCACATTTTTTTATTAATGAGATCATTTGGGTATTCATTTCTCCAGCACTTTACAGCAAATGATTTTATTTGTAGATTATATTGCCCATTTATTTACCATTAAGAGCCCGTTTGGAGAACTCTGTTTTCGGCTTATCAGGCTTATCAGCCAACTTTTTCACCAAACACGTAACTTTTACTTTCGCGCGCTGAATTGTGTAATAAGCCGAAAAAGTAAGGTTGGAGTTACTTTTCTGGCTGTATTGGCTGAAGTTACTGTAGAGGACCATTTTAGCTATTTTTTACATATAATTTTTTCTTTAATTTATTAATAAAATATATTTTTAAAATATTTTTTTCTTAAATCAGCAGAATCAGCCAAAACAGCCACTCCAGCCAGAATATCATAAATTTCAGCAGAATCAGCCAAAACAGCCGATTTTGGTGCTACCAAACGGGCTCTAAGTTTAAAACAAAACAAAACGAAACGAAACAACCACTACAGAAGATATATCGAATAAGTGCATGAGAAAGGATAGATGCACAGTGAGTGATTCAGAACATAAACAATTCAGTGATTTCACAATAAGAAATGTGAAGGTTTCACCATCGTCTCAGGCTCGCTGACCAGTGGATCAATGATGCCTCTCCAATCTTTGTATGTTAAAGCCGAGCCAGCATCAGGCAATGGAAAGCCATTGAGAAAGAAAAAAGGTGTCCCATAAACCCCTTTGACACAACCATACTGTATGCCAAAACAAAATGTTCAGTGAACTAGCACAAATAATTAAATACAGGTAAGAAAAGAAAAAACAAAAGCTCGTGTTGTTTGTGTTTTTACATTTGACTAGTATGCTCGAATGAGCTTGATGCGTTCTTATATAATGCTAAGACATAAATTCTTGTTTAATAGGTCAGTCTGATACATTGATAGTCCTATGTTTAATAAACTGAACCGGACCAGCGGGGTCGGCCTGGAAACCGGTGAACTGGCCCTTTACCCGGTCCGGTTATGCTCTTACCCGCAAAAACAACCAAAACCGGAAAAACCCAACAACCCGCTCAGACCCGGACGGGATCCGGCCCGCTGGGAAACCAAAAAACCGTTAGCAATCACATTCCAGCCTATACAAAATTCCGTCACGAGGGTGGAATTGATCCCTAGTGACATGCTTGAGCTTATAGCATACAGCCCAACTTACCAATGCTACTTGTTAGTGATAAAAGCAAGCTAGTACTATGTAGTTATTATACCTATCTAATACGGAGTAAGTTAATTTCTTTTGACAATAAATAATAATGAATACATAACAAATTTTCAAAAAAAAATGAATACATAACAAATTAAATTTAATAATACATATCAATTCTATTATGTATAATACATTCCAATATTAGTTAAAATGCTTATAAAATACTTTTAACATTTTATAATAAATGTATTCTCCAAATTTATTTTTCAACAAAGTATGATATACATTTAAATATTTACTATAGAAATAAAATCAAATGTAAATAAATATTTTATAGACATACTTAATAAGTATTAAATAATACTCCGTAGTAGTATTACTGATTCAAATAGGCCTAAAATTATATTCTGTATTTTAGAATATGATGAATGTGTGAAAATATTTTATATTAAATATTCAGAAAGGTTTAATAATTGTTTTACAATACTATATTTAAATATTCAAATATTTTAAGACTAGAAAAAAATCGATAATATTTGTTAATATAACAGAATTGCTGAGTAAATATTACGTAGTATTATTATTATTTTATCATATTGAAGAATAATTGTTTTAAACTTTTTAAATATATTGATATATGTCTTTTTTTACCAAATATATTAATATATGTCTATTACAGTAAAACTTTATATAACAGTTGACCGGGTTTTATGACGTTGACCGGGTTGACCCGTGACCTGATCATTCAACCGGGTCGCTTTCTGGTCCGGTTTTTACAACATAGTGATAGACCTAAATATTTACATGTTTTGTTGTATTGTTATATATATACACATATCCTATATCGATGACATAATAAAAATAAGATCCAACATGAAATGTGAATTAGAATTTACAATGAATTTCAAGAAACAAGATGAAGAAAAGAGATTTGCGTAACAGCTGAAAGGGTCGTATAGCAGAGAATATAGAGAGAGAAATACAAAGGCAGTTTGAGAGTGCCAACTTTCCGAAGTCCCAAGCCCAAATGATAATTCCCACCCTCCATTCTATTCCCCTCCACATCTATTTATACTAACTCTAATACTCTTCTTATTTCTTATTATTCTATGTGGGTCCCTAACAAAATGGACCATAAAAAATAAAGAGTAGTGTTTCTTATACCTTGAAGGAAAACCTTGTTGCCTGATCAGAAGCAGTGTTGCTAAATCCAGATTTAATTTCATCATATAATGAGCTCCCTACTGCCTTGGCTGCAAACTCGGCCACACGAGCCACAATTGATTTCCTAGACAAGTTGAATGTTGCTTTGTTGTAAAAATCCTCCTGTTCAACACCATAGCATGTTCACTTCATTGTACGGCAATGACAATACAATAGTTACTACATTTTCAAATTTGATCCAGCAATCAATAACTAAAGATATAAAGAGTCACAAGTGTTGGAACAGAAGTGTTCACTTCTTACCTGATATTCAAAGAAATGTTCCAATAATCTGTATGTTGCAGAACCATTTAAATTATTGACAATATGCAAAGCTCTGGAGCAAAGAAACGAGTTGTCATGGTAACTGCATTTCGGAGAAATTAAGCAAATAAATCAGGTGCAAAATCTTATCATCAAAGTTGGAATCTTATATGCAACTATGCATAGTCACTTGAGAAAGATATCGTTTTTATACATGACATTGCAGGCTACGATTACACATCTCCTATTTGTGAAATAATGGGAAAGAGGTACTCCAATAGGAGTCCTGACAGATATATTTATAATAGAAGAGTTGCCAAAATACAAAGTATTCCTAAATAGATATTAGGCAGATTCCTAAATATCTATTAGATAGATTCCTAATTATATTAGCCTATTACACCCCCGCAAACTGTGCGGGAGATACAACGCGCAGGTTGTCTTTTGAAAAAATGAAATTGCAAACAAAAAAAAAACTTCTTAGTAAATATATCCGCCAGCGGAAGATTAGAAGGCACATCTTTAACAATAAGATCTCCATGAGAATAGATGTCTGCAGCAGCAAGCGGCGAACTCAACAGCGCGCTTGACGCAAGCACCGTGGTCAGCGACACAGAGAAGGTGGGGTGCTGCGCGGACATAGGCAGCAGCAGGCGGCGAACTCAACGGCACGCTGGAAGAAAGCACCGTGTTCAGCGACGCGAAGGAGGTGATCTGCGCCATATTAGCTGCGCTCATCCTCAAAGGATCGCAAACTGCCGTAGATGTGACGGCAGTTGACCCCGAGGCGGCGGCGGCTGTACTAGGGTTCATGGGAACCGGAAAAAAAAAAAGAAAAAAAAAACTGTATCTAAAAACCTAAGCTCTTGATACCATGTGAAATAATGGGAAAGAGGTACTCCAATAGGAGTCCTGACAGATATATTTATAATAGAAGAGTTGCCAAAATACAAAGTATTCCTAAATAGATATTAGGCAGATTCCTAAATATCTATTAGATAGATTCCTAATTATATTAGCCTTATTAGCCTATTACTATTAATATCGCAAACGAGAAAACTTGCAATGGTAAAGTTATTTAATGGTTATTGGGATTATCTTTGGAGCTTTTTAAAAAGCTTCTGCCGGTATGATTTATACTGGGGTTGATTGCATAAACGAACAGTGCAGGCTGAAAATTAAAACCTTAACATAGGTAACAGAACGTGGTCAAACCTAACAATAATGAAGTAGGTCTGGCATCATAAAAATACCACTGAAAAATCTAAATAATTGCAGATCTAAAAGAGGCGATTAATCAATCGTATGGAATTACTGAAAAAGGGAAAAGATATAAGAAGAAGAACAGACGGCAAAGGGAAGGGGTGGACAGCAAGAGAGATGCGAGAACCGTAGTGTTGGAGGGCTTGTTTGAGTGGGGGCCACGAGTCTCGGCTATCCGGGCAGACCGGGTCCATGAACGCCTCGATCAGTACGGAATCAACTCCGGCGGCTCTATGCTCGTACCAGAACCCCATCTGCTTCGCCGGAATCGATATCTGAGCATAGGCGGAAACGAAGAAGAATACGAAAGCAAACACACGAAAGTCGGCCTTCAGATTGGGCAGGCGGGCCAATTGCTGCTCCATGTCTACTTTGCTGTTCAACTGGTTGAACCACTTGAAAGAAGTATGGACAAGAGTGCAATCTGAAGTCAGGGGTTTCGTGAGAGACGAGCACTTGGGTCTCAAATGCTTATTTTATTGAATGCTTTACACATTTGTACACAAAATTTATACACCAAGCATTTTTCTTTATTGAATATAAATGATTTATTTTTATTTTATACTATCCCCATTCTCTTTTAATTGCAACTTATGACTTTTTTTACTATTCACATATTCTACTTTGACTACATTTTATTAATTAATGTATTAAGAATTAAATTTTTTAAAAATATTTTTAAATTTCTCTCATCATAAATTTTCAAAATCTGATTTTTTAAACTTTTTTACTAATAAGGAATGAAAGATATTAATGGTCAAACTTGTGTGTTGGCAAGCGTGAAAAGTGGACTGTTGCAATTAAAAAGGAACGGAGGAAGTATTAAAGTTGTGAAAAGTTTCAAAATAACTATAGTTATGACAGATTTGATTGTGAGTCATGATAATAGACATATAATCAATCACCTCATGCAAAATAACTGGATTCCTTAGACACGAAAATGGGCAATTTAAAGTCCAAAATAATCAGAACTCAAAAGCTTTATCCTTCTTATTTTAAGAAATTTTATCATTTATCCTTTTTATATTAAAAAATTTAAATATTAATTAATCATGCTAAAAGAATAAATTTATGACGAAAAAATCATCAAAAATTGATAAGTCTTTAAATTAATCAAAATCTATAATACTGTAGTTCTTTGATTGATAACTTTCAATCACTCGGGGCTCGATAGCTAAACATTGGGGGTGTTTGGGTATTGGCGTTTCAACCCAAAACGTTATAATTTTCCAATATGAAACGTTGAAAAGTGCAGCATTTAGCACTCAAAACGCCGAAATATAAACAGAGTCATTGTCTCTTTCATACCACTTATCAATCGTGAACCTATCTTTCGCATTTTGAAATGAAGAAATTTTTTTTATTTCAAAAACTTTTTAATCTACGATGTCTTCTAGAAGGTATCATATTTTTGTCCAAATGGATCAATTAGAATATTATAATTCGAAAATTTAAATATAATTAAACTATAAATTATTTATTTGGACCAACCAAATGCATGAATGTACAATATTTTCACTTTTTTATGGTACTGTATGTCTGTATCATTCACCTAATATTAATTAATGCAGAGTTTGTTTTTACGAAGGTTATAAATTTTATACTCCCTCCCGTTCCATAGTGAACTCATGTTTTGAATTTACACATAAGTTAAGAACCTACAAATTGTGAGGCTTGAAATTGTGCAGAAAATAGAGAAAGTGGATTGAAGAGATAGAAATTTTGTAAACTATATAAATTCTTTCCTCAAAAAGGAAAAAATAGTTTATTGTTGGGACAAATGCAAAAGAAAAGACTGAAATTTTTTGTGATATAGAGATTACTACAAGTATTTAATATACAATACTTTCATTTCATTTTTATATTACACATTATACAATTTCTTATTGTCCTTTCGTTCCATTGGACTTTTTCAATTTTTTTGATTGTTTCCAAAAACTTTTTTTTTGTTTTTTATCCTATCCTAGGGCATTGACCTTCTTGGGAAGCCGGTCTCATTACATACACAACTTTTTTTAAGTGCATCGTAACTAATTTGTGTTTCTGCTCGTTTTTCTTTTCCTTGCGCAAAATAATTTTTATTTTATTATTTCTCACCTAATTCAAAGTTGGTGATGTCCAATGCGACGAAGGTAATAGAAATTTGTCACCGGTCAAAGTTTTTAGCAAAAATTTTTTAGCAATTTTTTTTTTGCCTAAATTACAAAAAAGAAATTTTACCGGTCAACTTTTAGCAAATACGGAGTATGTTATTTTTATGTAAAAAAACCAATGTTTGAATACTTTTCAGACTAAATTAGCTGAAGTTATCAAAGAGGATCATTTTAACTATTTTTGGAATTATTTGTTTTATCACTAATATATAATTTTAATATAATTTTCCAAAACTCAATTGATTCAACCGATTCAATTGCTCTAATCAAAATTTAATTATTTTGAACTAATTCGGCCAATTTCAACAATATCAAACGACTTTTAAATATTAAATTTGTTGTTGTACACACCGGTTTGTAGACATCGACACATCGTGTGCACAAGTTAGTTTTTTTATCTATGAATAAATAATTTTTTTTGCTTGTGTCACACATAAAATATACAGGCAAAATGTTTGTTCGAAGACAAAAAAATTGGCCTGAACAAGAAACAACGTCCTTTAGTATTTGAGAAAAGAGCAAAGATGGCTCCAATGAGTTAAAGGTATCTCATATTTTCACCGGGTCCAATAAGTTCCCAAATCATTGCAATTACATTGCATAAAACCATTATTAATTAATATCAATGATACGATCAAGTACAAAGCACTTTTTCTTTTCGCTCCACTTTTGTCGATTTGATTTCTTTCAAGCAATTCATCGAACATTAGTCAATAACATAAGTGGACGACTTTAAAATTCTTCTAAACAAAAGTTCTTAAGCACTGCGGCAGTAATTACTAAGGGCCCAACGTCAGCCGCCAATGGGCTCACCATTAAAAATTACGGCTTCTTCTAGTGATGGCAACGGGGCGGGTCGGGGACGGATACACATAAAACCGGAACCGTCCCGTTGGATAAACGTTTGCCCCAAAACCGCCCCATTATCCATTCGGGTAATTTTTATTTGAACCATACCCGCCCCAACGGGGAATCAGTTTATCCACGGGTAACCGTTTCCCCAAATGATACCAAAATAACCAACTTTTTTTGGGAAAACAAATAACCAATTTTTAATCCTACTTGTTATTTATATATTCAAAGCACCCTAAAACATACAAAAATAAACATTTAAGCAATCAAGCATACTGACCTAAATTCATTAGTATGACATGCACCCAATATTTCTTGTAACATAATAAAAAAGTAGTAATCATCCCAGAATCCAAATTTCAAAAATAGGTTTAGACCTATATTTAGTTTTAGGCCTAAAAAAGTAGTATACTTTTTAGCATTATTTATATGATATATACTATTTATTATACACAATTTAGCATATATAGTTATTATTCTTATATATAAAAAGTTATAATTTATTAATAATGTTATCGATCGGGTAACGGTGCGGGTACCTGCACCACTAGTGAACGGGGCGGTTTCGGGGCGGATAACGGGGTGGATTAGTATAGAACCATAACCACACCATTAACCATTTAAAAAATTCGGGTATTCCCCGCCCCGGCCATACCCATTCCCCAGTCAAACCGGTTTTCCCCAGTTTGACCAAATCGGTTCGGTGCGGGTATCCAACGGGTCGGTCGAAATTGTCATCTCTAGCTTCTTCCCTTCCTTTTTGTTGTCACTTTCCTTCAAAATTTATTTCTAACTTTCTTTGTGTGATCAATTAATGTTTCCCCTATTTGTTGGTGATGACCATAATCATACACTTCTACTTTCTTAATAAAGGATTATAAATTTTGTCAAAAAAATTCATAATAATTCGAAGCGGCCTCTACCATCACGATAGAGATTCATCTTTCACAGGCCGGTTGACATCAATTGTACGAATATTTTTACTGACTCCGGCTTTGGCTATGAGTATGAGAATCATTCACGACGGTCTGCGGCTTTGGGCTGGTGGCATATAAACTGTTTATAGAATCGGGTTGGTTTTCGAAGAGGGAAAGGTGGATATAGACATATAGTAAAACGTGTTTTACTAAATCACTATATATATATATATATATATATGTGTGTGTGTGTGTGTGTGTGTATATATTGAAGGTCCCGGATAGAGGTAAAAGTCTAGAGGGGGGGGGTGAATAGACTTTTAAAGCTTATTCAATTTTGAAACACTTTTCCCTCTAGATGAGTTGTTCCATAATCTTTTGAGAGATTAATAGATGCACAGCGGAAGTCTTTAACCTCTTTATACTTAGTGTGAGATAACTTTCTAGTTTAGATGGTGTTTAGACTGCTTATGAGAGGAAGTAGGCTTGGCAGTTGACTGGTGAGAAGGTCACTGCTTAGGCTACTGCTGCACAGGCAGTTTGCTGGCTGGCAGGCAACTGCTGGGTTGGCAGTTGGCTGAAGGTCAGGTTACTGCTGAGGCAACTGCTGAGGAACTGGATGACTCTTGGATGACTTTTTGTTCTGGCTTGTTATGGGGTTTGGAAAGATACGTATGAATGGGAAGTGGTCTCAGCAGGAGGATGAAGACCAGAGTACTGCTGAGACACCTTCTGAGTTTAAGACAACTTCTAGTGGAAAACACTCTCAAGGAGAGTGAGTTATTGAGCAGTAGGCTAAGCAGTAGAGTCGATGAAGACTACTGCTTAGAATGCTGCTGGCAAACTACAAACCTTTAGTGAGATGTGTTTGGTGTGTGCTCTGTATGTATGAAGGTAAATCAACACACCATGTATTCTGGTTCAGAGGTGGTGTAATCCTCCTACATCCAGTCCCACCCTATTTCAGATGGATTTCCACTAAAGTATTAAGCCCAATACACTTAGTGCCAATCTAGTCTTTACAACACTCAGGCCTAGATTGAAGGTTTTTCACAATGAGTATAACACCACTCAAAGTTACTCACTCCTTAGACTTTTCTCAAATGATCCAGTGGGGATCAAAAGGTACTCTATCTATCTAACCACACCTTAGAATCCGAACAACTGTTCTCCTAAGGATTTACAACAACATGATTTGATTCAAGAAGTTTCTAACCGCCAACTAAAACCTAAGCTCTATAAATGTTACAATGAATGATCTAGTCTAAGAGTTTAGTGAAGCATGAGTCAAAGCAGAGTGTTCAAGCACTTTTTCTTTTGCTGGATATTCGTAGTGTAATGACTGAACCACTTGCTTTGAACTCAATGACTTACCTTTGAACTCATGCTTCTGCCTATTTTTATAGGCATCTCCAGTAGATTAATTTCCTCCGTTGGTTAAGAGGATTTAATCCTTGACGTCCAAAGTTGTGTACTTGCGTCTTCTTGTGTTGGAGCAGGATAAGATTTTGTCTTTTGAAGACCACTTGCTTTGTACGAAGATAACACCCATACCTTAGGCCTTCTTATCGCTGCATGCCTATTCTGAAA